CGAGCATCAGAATGGGGAAAAAATGGGATTTAAGTGACTTTGAATGTGGCATGATTGTTGGTGCCAGACAGGCTGGTCTGATTATTTAAAAAACTGCTGATCTGGGATTTTCACGCACAACCATCTCTTGGGTATACAGAGAATGGTCTACAAAAGAGAGAATATCCAGTGAGTGGCAGTTGTGTGGACAAAAATGCCTTGATGAGGTCAGAGGAGAATGGGCAGACTGGTTGCTGCAACATTCAGATGGTAGGGTCAGAATTTAGCGTAAACAACATGAAAGCATGGATCCATCCTGCCTTGAATCAAAAGTTCAGGCTGGTGGTGTAATGGTATGGGGGATATTTTCTTGGCACTAGCAAGGTGTACCTAATAAAGTGGCCTCTGATTGTATATTTTCTGTATACATTGCCGTAAATATAGCACATTTTGTTACAGATACCACTTTCTGTTGTGAAAAAAAATTGCTGTTTGTCTCACCATATCTTTTTCAGAATTCCGAATAGATGGGTCAGCCTTTATTATAACCACCTGCGAAAGTCTCACTGGGACACTTTTCTGGTGGTAGGTCCCTTTAAAATGACTAATTCAGACAAGTCTTTGGTAACAGTACCAATGTGGCAAGAAATTCAAGCAGTTCTTACTGTTGCCACTTTAAAAACCTATCACTATGGCTGCAACAGAATTAAAAAAAAAAAAATGACCGCTAGTTCTCAGATTAGGAAACTGGCAGTAATTAGGACCAGCTCTGGGCTGGAGTACAGAGCACCAATGCTCAGAAAGGAGCATGTCTGTGCTGGGAAACTGTCATGGAATCCTTTGGCTCACATCAAGTCACCAGTAACAAGGTCACTAAAAAATGCAGAGAGAAATCCAGGTGTTGTTTGCTGGTTGGCCAGAGGAGCGAGGAAACAACATCTTGTTTATCCAGCCATTGAGGGGGTGACGCATGCAAACAGGTGAGTATTTCTCTACCCTCTTTAGCTCTGTATAATGATCCTGTCACTGGTGAGTTGTTGGCAGCTTCAGGATTGCTAGTGTGACATGGTCCTATCTCACCAAATGTGAAAAGTCTATTGCATGAGATGCCTAAACATTGCCAAAGCAGAAAATGAGATTCAGGCTGAATGGATCTACTCATGGTTAAAGTGACCATTGTACGTTTTTGTCAGTTTTTGAAAATTTCAGCTACCACAAACTGAAACGGAAAGGAAACTTTTCATTTTTATTTTAACATTTAATGAAAAAATATTATCTGTGTAAGTACTTTACATATGCATATGTTTTATATATATGTAAAATCTGTTTCTACTTTTCAGTTCCACACATGGCTACAGAATGACTGCTTCTTCTTACAGCACCATCAGCCAGCTCATTCACAACATATTCCCTGTCTAATTGATATCCTATCTCTTATGCTGAGTGCTAAGTGCTGAGCGATTGCAAACTGAGCTATTGTTCACTCTGGTGGCTAAAAGCTAGCATGAGAATTTGAAAGACACATAAATATTATTTATGAAAAGCATAGTTGTTTTGTATATTCATTTCCTTTGGTATGATAAGGGTTAAAGAGAACAATTTAAAACATATTATTTCTCGTTTTAAATGAAGTAGATATGAAATGAGAAATATTAATGTTCTGTAGTCTTAAATTCAACCAGCAGGTGGAGCTTTAGTTTTCTTTTTGCTTTATTAAGATGATTTCTTTTTACCTGTGCTGAAAGAAGCCAGTTACAAAACTTCAATGAGCCATCAGTACAGTGACCAATCCCATGCCAGCTGTCTGAATCAGAGGTTTCCATCAGACAAAGAGAGCTACAAGGCCAGCTGCTATGCTGTGATATCTGTTTTACTAACCCAAATTACTCTGGGGACCCTCTTTTTCACATATTTAAATGTTTATTTAAAAACAAAGAATATGTATAGATATTGAGAAAAAACAGATATAAACAACAGTTCAAAAAACACATAAAACTAAAATATACATGACAAAAAACATTATAGGTTTTCTTTAACCACTTCAAGTCCGGACACTTTTACCCCCTTCCTGTCCAGGCCAATTTTCAGCTTTCAGTGCTATCACACTTTGAATGACAATTGCAACACTGTACCCATATGGATTTTTTTGCATTTGTTTTGAGTCAGATAAAACTTTATTTTGGTGGTATTTATTCACCACTTGTATTTTTTTTTTTTTGCTATATAAATGAAAAAGTCCAAAAATTTTGAAAAACAGTGTTTTTTCTTATAAAATGTTGCAAATAAATAATCTTTCTTCATAAATCTTACCCAAAATGAATTCAGTTATCTTTTTAACCCATAAAGGCTGTAAAAACAATAATTTCTCCTTCTCTCTGGCTGCATTCTTGCAGCCATTGAAAAATACTGTTTGAGCTGTGATTGGTCACAGCTTGTCACATAGTACAAGGCTGTTGTGAATAGCCTTGTATCATGTGATCTCTGTGATCATTCAAAAAAAAATAACCCAAACTAGTTTATAACCAAAAATTATAATTTAAGAAAAAAATTTTTTTTTACGTTTTTATTTTATTTTTTTATATTATTATTTATTTTTTTTAACAGACTGTCACCCTAGCAGTACGGGGTCACCATAGTGACACTTTACTACTTGTGGGGGGTGATGAGGATTTTTTTTTTTTTTTTTTCACTGATTGTTTTTACACCCATAAAGGCTGTAAAAACAATAATTTCTCCTTCTCTCTGGCTGCATTCTTGCAGCCATTGAAAAATACTGTGTGATCTGTGATTGGTCACAGCTTGTCACATAGTACAAGGCTGTTGTGAATAGCCTTGTACCATGTGATCTCTGTGATCATTCACAGATTTCACACATAGTAAGCAATGATGTCAGAAAAGACATCTTGCTTACATCTATTCATGTGATCACTGATTGGCCAATCAGTGATCACATGATCAGGACCTCACACAGAGGTCCCATACAGCAATCGGTGTTCTCCTCCGGACACAGCGGGTACCGGATCATGGTGCCATGCGCTCCCAGAGAGCGCGCACAGTCCAAAATGGAGGGCACCGTTTATGAACGGCAACCCACCCCTGCACTGCTACCGTCTGGCCATTTATATGCAATGGCCGGAGAGGAAGTGGATATTTTAAAAGCTGAAGTTTTTTTTATACAAAATATGTGCACACTGAAAATATACTATTTTCCCTTAAGTGGTAATGCATTCATCTTTTATACCAGTGATGCAAACATTTATGATATCACCCTTTAAAAGCATTTTAGTATGATCACTGTATACAGCTGTCAATCTATCTGCATAGTTGGAATAAAAACAGGCTCAGTCCACTGTGTCTTTAGCTGCAGGGTATCAGAAATGATTACAAAGTCTGTGTCCCTGCAAAAAAAAAGAAGCCATTAAAATTCTACTGTAAAAATCCCTCTGTAGCTCTACCCTGTCTTCCTTAATTGGTCTTGTTTAAAGCTTGTGAGAATGTTTCTTCTCCCTATCAGAAGGATCCTTATTGCAGGCCAGCCAGCTAGAAAAGGATGCAATGCCATTTTCTGTGCTAAATCAGCTCTGGGCAGCATAGAGAAGTAGATTCCAACTGGTTCTTAATCCAGATTATACAGCGATTAATTACATTATAATTAGCAGTTCACAGTATGAACAAATAGAGTTGGAGAATATTATATTGGAGAATGAATATGCCTATTCGTATACATTGTATATAACACTGCAAAATGTTTAGGCATGTGTGAAAATATTCTGTAAATTGAGGGTGCTTTAAAATAAATGCAATAATTAGCTTTCTTTTACAATGTAACCATACAGCCTACATGGTGCATAACAAAAGAAAAATTAAAATCGAAATCAATATTTGGTGTACCCATCTCCTTCACAAAAAAAAACCAAAGGGAAGGCATGCTACAACTATAGAAATAATTAAAGGTACCACATCCTAAACATTAAACATTTTAAGCTCCCTAGCCATACAGAAAAGCTAAAGGACTTTAAAGGTACCAGGTCACAAACTAAATATAGAAACAAAACAAATTCACTTTTTTTCCATTTAAAAATTCAAAATAAAATGCTGTTCATTATACATCCATATTCAAGATACAATATTGCACACCAGATATTCCAGAGTCATCAAATGTAAATGTACAAATTCATACTTAATTCATATTTCCATAACATTGTATTGGAATAAGAACAATTTCAACTTGTTTCTCCAGTCAATGTCTGCTTCTTCAGGAAAAGATGGGGGAATAGTTATCTGTAATAAAGTTAACAATATGTTATATTAAACATTCTTAAACATATCATGTAGTTTTACAGATGGGGCTTCTGCTAAACATCAATAAACACAGCCGTACAATATTAAAAGGACAAGGTGGCATTACCAGTAGTAGCTGTATCCAGCTATCCAGTTTTAACCACAGGAGGGGGGCTTCATATTCCAGCTGATCGGGCAGCAGAGCCAGTTAAAGCTGGTTTTATTAAACACTAAAGTAAAAATAGATATTATAAAATAGCTTAGTATATACATGATTATCTAGGCAATAATCACTCCCTATGGGGTAGTAGAAACCAGAGACAATAGATCTACACATGTAAAAGAAAATTCAAAAACATATGGTTCACAGGTTTGTTGTTAACCTCCCTAGCGGTCTGATTATATCCATATTTCTGTGGTCAAAGCAGTACATTTTTTTGCATGGAAATATGTAGTTTTTTTATTGTAGGCCTGTAATTTTTAGGAATAACTCACTGAAATCTGTCCGAACAAGAGTCTAGTAAACATCCCGGGTAGGATAAAACTTTAAACACGGAATCATAAATTATAATTTAATAAATAATCATAAAGAATAATATAATAATAAATTTATTTAAATCATATAATCAAACCAAAAACACTGAAATTTGAAATATAGCGCCAAGTTCGCACATCACTGAGCAAGGTCGCAAAATCGTTTTCAGTGTCTGATGACGAATTTCCCCACGAATCATTATCACTCAATTCTGCAAGAGGATCTAATTTACTATCGCTGTTCTCTAGCTGGTCTAAAACCACTTTTGACCTAAAGGGACGCTTTTTGGACACCATGGACATTTCTCAGTTTCCAGGCAGAAAGAACAGTAAAAATGCAGGCGGGGCACAGGACAAAGCAGTAGGGACAAAATGTATGTGAAATGGTTTGATACAGTAATGTTTTACTATGTGATTTTAGTGAATGTCACTTTTTGTCATTTTCAAATTTCCCGCCGTTCCGTCCCCCATACGTCCTGACGCTCTCAGGGGACGGAACCCAGATGACAGATGCCGGCATCCACCAGATTACATTGCCGGGGACACTGCAGGAGGGACATCGCGGGAGCGAAGGACAAGGTAAGTGATCGAGGGATCACGGAGCAGCACCGCATGGTAAGCCCAAGTGTAGCTCGGGGGTTACCGCTTGTGGTACTGAAACTTTACCCCGAGCTACACTCGGGAATACCGCCAGGGAGGTTAATACGATTTTGAAACAACATATGATGTACTTAGAACCTAGCTGTAGAATACAATATTAAAACATTTTACAGGGGTGATAGGGGCTTATCATAAATTGTATATATAAGGACCAATAGGTTACCCACATTATAGATAACATGCTTATATTCCAATACAAATTTCTTAAAGCCAGCAGCAGAATTACTAGACCACCACAATAAAAATGATATAGTGACATTATATTAACTATAAATGTACTATATGGAACCCATATACTGTAAGTGTCCTCAATGTTTACCAGTTCCAGGGTTTCTTCTGCCAAATAAATGTGTCAGGGTGACGTCATGACGTACATCATATGCATCATGACATTATATTGCCATGACCCAAATGAGGTATAAGGTCAATATATCATGCCCAATTCCTGAGTGACCCAACCATAACACCATATCTATTATTCCCAGATAGACCACATCATTATACAATTGCCAGAATGTAGTTAAACAAAAGCCAAATACTAGCACAACTCAATTGATTTTTGATTATATGCTCATATCTTACCCCCGCAAATGTGAACGCCTATCACTGTTTCATCAGATCTAACATAATCCCCAAGCCGCCAAAAGAAGAATGAAGTGCACTATTTAACCCCCAAGATTGGCCTGGGCCCCTCCTGCTTCTGGAACTCCTCCACTGAAAACAATGGTGAGATGATGTTATGATGCAATAATACATTATGAAGACACAACATAGAGTGTCATCACGCCATTTCCAATTTCGGGAGCCAGCCACCAAAACTCTGAACCATACTAATACCATACCAGTCTAATAGGTGGAGAATCTCCTCAACAAACACACCCAGCCATGAAAGAGATGATTGGGCTATGTTAAAGTGACACTCCCCAACCTAAGATGACACAACAGATTTCCTGTGTCACAAGGTGAGAGGAGCTCACCTGTAGATGCTGGGTATAACTGGAGAGTGGGCGTAGTAGAACCGGGAACACCCTCCTGCTAACCAAATATAGCAGAACACAACACAATTTAGTGTAACAATTTGTTACGGCAATTTCTTATTATAATAATGATTCATCAAATTTCTTATGTAAAACAAATATTTTTAATGTATAAAGCAACCAATTGGGATATAATGGCCAAATCTTTGTCACATATCATTGTATAATATGCAAATGCCAATAGCTTAAGAACAAGACTTAAAACTAATGGCATCATTTTAACCTGGGGACATATTTGCATGCAGCCAATGGATCCACTTGGTTTCAATTTATAGGATATATCAATTCCAATCGCCCCAACAGGGATCCATATGGATAGATTTTGGATTTTCACTATGATGCCATGCACCATGTCTGCCAATTGGCAAAGAACTTTAGCTTTTTTGTATGTTTAGGGAGCTTTATGTGTCCACCCCTTTGCCTTTAAAAAAGGGAATCAATTTTGCTGGGTACACTTGCACATCATTTTTTTAAAGAACTTGGCATGCAAATTGTTTTAAACATCTTGGAGAACTAACCACACTTCCAGGGGCGGACTGACAACTCATGGGGCCCCCAGGCAATAGGGGATCATGGGGCCCCTGTGTCCTTGCCCAAACTTAAAAAAGCCTATGAAAAAGGTACCAGGGGCATCTCATGGGGCCCCCTACTGACCCCGGGCCCTCGGGCAGTGCCCGAGTTTCCAAATGGTCAGTCCGCCCCTGCACACTTCTTCTCTGGATTTAGGCTGACCCTATTACTTCTGTTTTTTCATGTAATTCCAGACAGACTCAATGTTGGGATCAGGGCTATATTATCAATTCCAGGACTCCCTGTTCTTTTCACTGAAAATTGTTCTTTATGACTTTGGCTGTATGTTTGGGGTCATTGTCCTGCTATAGAATGAGTTTAGGAATGATCAGACATCTTTTTAGCTTTGAGAAGACCGTTAATTCTGACCAAGTCCCATCTCCATGTGACCCAAACCTGCAAGGAACCTCCATCATACTTAACTGTTGCCTGCACACACTCATCCTTGTACCATTCTCCAGGCCTTTAGTCAACAAACTGTCTTCAGTTACAGCTAAATATTTTAAAATGGGCTCTGGAGCACCTGCTGCCAATTCTCCACATGCCAGTTCTTGGTTTGTGTTCATAGGCTAGTCGCTTTGCCTTGTATTCACATTGGAGATATGGCTTTTTAGCTGCAAGTCCTCTATATAAGACCACTACTGAACAAACTTTTCTAGACTGTGGTGTCCAGGATCATATTGAAATATTTGGCCTGAGAAATCTTGTTGATGCAAGAAGACACCAGGTGTTTTGTCACTGTACTCTATCTTGACATTGTGCAAGATTTGTTTTCATCGAACTGTCGTCAGTGACCCTAAACTTATTAGGAGAGCATGGCTTTTCCTCACAAAGCTCCTACACAGCTGATTATTATTATTGTTATTATTAATTATACAGTATTTATAAAGCGCCAATAGTTCGCTCAGCGCTGTACATTACAAAGGGGGACAGAACATGTGACAGAACAATAACAATACAATGCAAAACATGAGGGGATTGAGGGCCCTGCTCTTTTGAGCTTACAATCTAGGAGGGAGGGGATGATGGCACAGGAGGAGATAGCTGTGGGGGATGGAGTGGTAGAAAGAGTGGAGGAGGTCGGCAAGTTAGCAGGGGGTGGGGTAGGCTTCCCTGAAGAGATGGGTTTTCAGGGTGCACCTAAAGGAGAGGAGAGTAGGTGATAATCTGATGGGTTGGGGCAGGGAGTTCCAGAGGATGGGTGACACCCTGGAGAAGTCCTGGAGGTGGGCATGGGAGGAGGAGACCAGGGAACTAGAGAGAAGGAGGTCTTGTGAGGAGCGGAGTGTGCGTGCTGGGTGGTACTTGGATATTAGGTCAGTGATGTAGTTTGGGGCAGTATGGTGGACAGCTTTGTACGTCAGCGGTAGGATTTTGAATTTGATCCGTTGCGCAATCGGAAGCCAGTGGAGGGATTGGCAGAGGGGGGTGGCGGAAACGGAGCGGTTGGAAAGGTGAATGAGTCTGGCAGCCGTATTCAGGATCGACTGAAGTGGGGATAGCTAACAGCGAGGCAGGCCAGTGAGGAGGGAGTTGCAGTAGTCGAGTTGTGATATGATGAGGGAGTGCATGAGCTGTTTAGTGGTTTCTGGGGTTAGGAACGTGCGTATTTTGGCGATGTTGCGGAGGTGGAGTCTGCACGAGTTTGTTAAAGATTGGACTTGGGGCTGGAAGGATAGGTTGGAGTCCAGAATGACACCAAGTACTCTGGCCTGCGGGGCGGGTTTGATGGTGGCGTTGTTGGATGTGATGGAGAAGTCAATGGGGGGTGGTGTCCGGGCTGGGGGGAAGACAAGAAACCCGGTTTTGGAGAGGTTCAGTTTAAGGAAGTGGAGCGACATCCAGTCAGATATGTCGCTCAGAAGGTGTGTGATTCGGGCGGAGACTGAGGTGGTGAGGTGGGGGGTTGAGAGATAGATTTGTGTGTCGTCGGCATATAGGTGGTAGTTGAATAGTGGTAGTGGTAGTGAGAGTGTATGAGTTGGCCAAGGGAGGAGGTGTAGATGGAGAAGAGAAGGGGCCCGAGGACGGAGCCTTGAGGGACCCCAACAGAGAGGGGGAGTGAGGGTGAGGTGGTAGCGTTATAGGTAACGCTGAAAGAGCGTTGTGACAGGTAGGATAAGAGCCAGGAGAGAGCAGAATCTCTGAGGCCAAGGGAGTGTAGTTTTTTGTGGAGGAGGGGGTGGTCGACTGTGTCGAAGGCCGCAGAGAGGTCAAGGAGTAGGAGCACTGAATAGTGGCCATTAGCTTTGGCGGTTAGCAGGTCGTTGGGAGTTTGAGGAGGGCAGTTTCGATTATGTTTTATATAATGATTTGTTTTTTACCAAAATGTTATCTTGTTGATTGTTAGCACCAGTTTGGTATAATTGTTTAATCATAAACACATACTTACTAGTTGGTGGAGTCCAGCACTGTTTTGCTTGCAGGCAAGGTTCTCTCTAAACAGCTCTTTGCCAACTTGAACTGAAATCTGTTGCATGCGCAGACGCAATGCTGGTCCTGTGGCAAGTCCTCACATGTGCTAAGCTCTCTGCACATGCTCAGAACAGGCAGAGACCACATGGGATGTCTGCACATGGGTAAGATCTTGCAAACTGCCTCTTGGGATGTATGACATAGACATCTCAGAAGGCAGTTTTGAGATTTTACTCATGCACAGAGATGCTGCGGGATGTGTGCCATATTACTTGCTGAGCATCAAATGGCTTCTGGTGACCAGAGACCACCTTACGTCAGAGTTCCCCTTTACATCACGGTCCACAGTGTCCCTAACATCAGAGTTCCCCTTTACATCACGGTCCGCAGTGTCCCCCTTACATCAGAGTTCCCCTTTACATCACGGTCCGCAGTGTCCCCCTTACATCAGAGTTCCCCTTTACATCACGGTCCGCAGTGTCCCCTTTACATCAGAGTTCCCCTTTACATCACAGTCCGCAGTGTCCCCCTTACATCAGTGTTCCCCTTTACATCACGGTCCGCAGTGTCCCCCTTACATCAGAGTTCCCCTTTACATCACAGTCCGCAGTTCCCCCCTTACATCAGAGTTCCCCTTTACATCACGGTCCGCAGTGTCCCCCTTACATCAGAGTTCCCCTTTACATCAAAGTCTGCAGCATTGTCTTTTACACATATTCAAATATTTATTATATAAACATTTTACCATGAAAAAAAGGTCTTGCTATCTTTTTTTTTTGGGGGGGGAGGGGGGGGTAGCGCTTCAGAATTCTCTGCCTATAGGCTCCTGAGATGCAAATCCGGCCCTGCTCTGAATATACATAACAGTCAAGCATCTA